AGAAAGGAGCAATAGCTTTGGTTTAGTGCAGAGTATCCCTTTTATAGGATATGCATAGTTCTCCAATTATTCAAAATGTCTATTCATTTTGTTACTGGAATAGTTTAATATGGAATATGATGAATATCCTGTTTTCAGTGCCATGACTTGCCTTGAAATTTAAAGTAATATGAAATTGCCTGTGAATCCATTTTGCTACCTCACTAAGTTTGGTGCACCTCAGACTGTGACTCCCAGAATCCCTCATATCCATAGGCTATTAGATTGAGGAAGAATGGAATTTTGAATGCTTTGTCCTTCCACCAAATTGCCAATGCAGATAGTCTTCATCTTACAACTGCAATTGGACCAGAATTTCACTCATTGAGCAAAATAGTCATTAGGCGAAATGCCTGTCCAACTGTTCAGCTTGATGATCACAATCCAGGCACTTCCATATGGTCATTAATTAATCTCTCAAGCTGTTAAGCAGACACAATAGCACTATATCGTTTCATAGTACTTTACAGCTCACTCTAAATGGTTTACAGAATCAGCATATTGCTCCCAACAATCTGTGTCCTCATTTACCAACCTCAGATGAATAGAAGGCTAAGTCAACCTTGAGCCGGTCAGGATCGAATTGCTGGCAGTTAGCAGAATTAGCCTGCAATACTGCATTCTAACCACTGCATCACTGCATAAGGAGCCTTGGATGGAGGAAGGGGGAGGATTCCTTCATTGGGCTGTAGGAACAGAGCTCAAATCTTCAGGATTGTAGATAAACCCTCCTCTCCATCCATTGTGGAAGTTAATGGGAAAATCGGCAGCAGGGAAGGTTGCAAGGTGCTGCTTTCTGCCAAGAGGATTCCCCTCTCATCTCAGGGCTGGCTGAAAGCTGCCAGGGGGATTTAGCCTTGCAAGCAGGCAGCACTTTCACTCTGTCTGCTTAACGACCACAACTGTGAGTGCCAGGATTGTGGTTGAGGGAAGCAATAATATGTCTCACTCAGTGACGTGCAGTGAGGTTTATGGCTGGTGAGGCACTGACGTCATTGCAATCTTTTTATTAAAATGCCTTTGTAATACAGGGGGTTTTAATAAAAGGATCCGCGCTGTGTTGTCCCGTTCTTGCACGTTTCGAAGGGGTGGAGGGCAAGAGCATATCGCCAAGGACCGTATGCGGTGACCACCAGTGGCCAACAACAACAAAAAAAAGAGAGATTTTTTTGTGGGGGAGCAAGGAGCCGAGGAGTTCCTTGTTCCTGCTGACAGTCCCTCCGAGAGGGGGAGGAGAGAGAGAGAGAGATGATGATGATGATGATGATGATGATGATGATGATGACAATTAAGTATCAAAAACCTTTTGAGTTTGACAATATAATACGTTTTCCAAAATCATAAATAATCTTATTTTCAGATGCATTTTTTGCCATCTCTGTTATTTTATTTTTTAAAAATCAGACTTGCTTCCAATTTGTGTCTCTGGCAAACTACTGTTTTCTTGGCAAGAGATCTAGCTTGCCATTGCTTTCGTCATAGGTCTGATAAACTTTCTTTCTTTCTTTTTCTCTTCCTTTCTTTCTCCCTGATTTGTTTCCCCCTCTTTTCTCTCTCTCTCATTCTCTCCCTTCAGCTCTCTTTCATTGCTCTCTCTCCCCCCCCCTCTTTCTCTCCTTTTCTTTTCATCTCTTCCTTGCGCGTGCAAGCAAAATACTTTTCTGGGCCGGGATCATGGCAGCAGGGACAGCCACTCTTTCTGCTGCCACCACTGAGAAGTGAATACCTGGCTGTGCTGCGGTGAAGAGCCACGCTGTGCAGGAGAATCCTCAGCGTTAGACTCGTCAGCACGAGCCGCAGTCCCATTCCCCTCCTTCCTGAGCCAACATGAAGAGGGCTGCGGCTTGTGCTGACCTGAGTCTAGTGCTGAGGAGTCTCCTGCACAGTGTGGCTCTTCTCCACAGCGGAAGGAGTTGCTGTCCCCGCAACGAAAGAGAAAAGGGGAGAAAGAGAGATAGAGAGAGCTGGAAGGAGAGAATAGGAGAGAGGGAAAAGAGAAGGAAACAAATTAGAGAGAGAAGGGGAGAGGGAGAGAGAAATGAAAGAGAGCTGAAGGGAAAGAATGAGAGAAAAGAGAGGGAAACAAATCAGCGCTAAAAGCCACCTCCGTCCTCCCTCCCTTCCTCTCCACAATCTTCCCCCGAAAGCTTTTCCCCAAATAATACCAGCAGCCATTTCATCCCCACCAAAGTAGATACACACACATGCGTGTGCGCCACACACACATATACACGCATGCACACCAAACAAAAAAATAAAATAAAAAATGGCAGAAATGGAGAAAGAAGTGAGACCTCCAGAAAATAAAAGAAGCAGGAAGCTGGCTCATCCTGTAAAAAGGGAAATCAATGAAGAGATAAAGGTACATTTCTGCGCTCCCCCTTTATTGTCACTGTATTGCAAGCGAGAAGGGAAGAAAAAGGGAAGAGGGGTAGTGTTGAGTCACAGGAAGAACTAGCGCCCTCTGCTATGAGGCACAACTGCGTGCCTCACCTACCTCAGGATTTTTTTAGGCTTTTAACTCTCGCTTAACTCTGCTCGAGCGATCATAAAACACCTTAGAAGTCAAACTAGACTAGATGAGGCATGCAGTTCTCCTGCCTCATAGTAGAGGGCGCTTTTAGAGGCTTTTTTAAACAGTTAGGCAGTCATTCACGGTGAGGCAACAGCTAGTTAGCCTCACCTCAGCTCTTGCCTTTTTCCTTTTACATTTTTTTTCCTTTTCATGATGACAGTGGTGAGACTGTGCCTCCCCTGACTGCACGTCACTGGTCTCACTTAATAACTTCTTTGCTCAGTGACCAATATTGTGATTGTAAGTCGAGAACTATCTGTAGAGGTGGAAAGTCCCCTCATTTCCATCCCTTTTAAGTAAAGTGGCTTGCAATATGGAAGTTGGGTTCTGAATAGGACTAGAGTACAGGTAGTCCTTGATTTACAACCGTTTGTTTAATGACTATTCAAAGTTATAATGGCACTGAAAAATAATGACATGACCATTTTTAACACTTTTGACTGTTGCAGCATCCCCATAGTTATGTAGGCAAAATTCAGAAACTTGGCAACTGGCTCCTATTTATGATGGTTGCAGTGTGCTGGGATCATATGGTCACTTTGTGACCTTCTGACAAGCAAAATCAATGGAAAAGCCAGATTCACTTTATAACACTGTTATTGACAACTGCAGTGATTCACTTAACTGTAGCAAGAAAGGTTGTGAAATGGGACAAAACTCACTTAACAATTGTCTTGTTTAGCAACAGAAGTTTTGGGCTCAATTGTGGTTGTAAGTTGAAGATTACCTGTATTAAGCCTTGGCACTTGAAACATCTAGCCACAGTGAAATTGTGCAAAAAACAATAATTTTGTGATAGATCCAGGGAAGTTATTTGGAGTGCTGTCATTGCTACTTGTTCTTTGTTTTTGTGTTGAATTCTTCCATTGAAATCTATGGAGCCATTTGAGGTGCTTAATTTTACCTCGGGCATGCCTATGGATTTGTTTAATATCTTATTAATTGTGAATAAAATACATAATGGCAGTTTGTACAGTTTGCAATTGTTTTTGTTACTCAATTGTCCCCAAATAGCTAGACCAAATTGCTAAGCATTTGCCTTAAAGAAGCCTTACTAATCTAAGAACTCTAAACAAATTTAGTTAGGAAAGATGCAGGTATGATTTTGTTTATTAAAATATGTACGTTAACACTACCCAGTAAGTTGATGTAAAAGGAAGAGTGAGCTAAAATATCCCTTGCAAGGAACCCTGTTCTTGTAACTTTGTTTTAAAAGTACAACTATTTTAAATTAACGTGTGAAAAAAGCAGTTTAATACTTATGGCAATAACTGGTGAATGGACCAGGCTCTTTCATCTACCCTGAAGCCCAGATTCCTCTCTAATACTCTGCCCTTCCATTTCTTTGCACTTCTGTTCTGTCAGAAAAAGGGAGCAAAGACGGTTGCTTGGGGAGATGTTGCTTCAGGGTGCATTTGAGTTAGCATGCTCCTTCCATTTCTTGCTAGGGCGAGTAAAATAGTCTTCCTAAAGTGCTTCTGGTTAGCTGCCCTGGGAGTAGAATTTAGGACAAGATATGTTTTTGCCCTGACCCAGTACAATTCTCACTTTCCCGACATTATATATTGACTGCGGGAGAATTTCAAGGCTAGCCGGTGGAGAACATCTTCAGTCAAAATTGATGGTCCACTGGTAAAGTACCTGCTAATAATGGTGTTCTTTGTAGGAGAAGCCATTCCAGCTCATTGTTGCATCCTGTCGGCCTGCAGCCCCTTCTTCACAGAGCAGTTGGAGCGAGAAATGCCCCCCAAGGGACACAAGGTGGTGCTGGAAATTCGGGGGCTGAAAATTGGAGCGTTGCGGAAATTGGTAGATTTCCTCTATACATCTGAAATGGAGGTGTCCCGGGAAGAAGCTCAGGATATTCTTGCAGCTGCACGACAGCTTCAGGTGTCAGAACTTGATTCTTTACAGTTAGAAGGAGGAAAGTTAGTAAAAAAAAACCTGGGCCGGCGATTAAACAGGAACTGTTTGCAGATAACCAGTCCAATGACCAGATCAGAGACAAGTTTAATTCATTCTTCTGCTCCTTCTAAAGGTAGCTTGACATCCTGGGTAGCTGCAGGCAAGCAAACAACACCCGGCAGTAATTTTATACCAGGCTCCAAAGAAATAAATAACCACAACAGTACTGATCAGAAGGACGTAAAGAAGCAAAAGCTTACTACAGCATTGCTGAGTAGTGACAAACAGATTTCAAAATGCCAAACTATTACTGCTGATCCCCTGAAAACAAAAGTTAAAAAACGCCCTCCAGGCACAATAAGGAATATAATGGGCAGCAGTGAGAATGATAGTCTGCACAGAAAGGAGACTGAGGCTGAAGATACACACACTAGAGCCAGTTTGCAGAATTCAAAAAAGATAAAGCTCAGCCGTCCAAAGCTTTCCTTGCCATCTCTGTCTACGTCTTGTGCCACCAAAGACCATTGCACTGTGACATCCAGCAAATCACCAAGGTCTGTTAAACGTCTGTGGAGACAAAAATGTCCTGTCAAGGAGGAGATTAAAAAAGAAGATGATAACCATTTTTGTGAATTCAGAAGCCCCCCTCTTCTTCCAAAAACTAAAGGCAGAAAGCGCACCTCCAGTGATCCAGCATCCTGCCCAAACTTTCCCCAAGAAATAGGTCACATAGGCCGGGTAAAGCTCAGAAAAGTTATCAATGGCAGTTGTTGGGAAGTGGTGCATGAATCGCCTGCCGTGCAGCCGACAGTGGGGGAAAATGGTGTGCACACTTTGAAAGTTGAGGGCTCCCAATTTCAACCCAGAGATCCTAAACTAGAAGTAGATGTGCAGCAGTTGGCCTGGTCTCCTAAACTGCTCCCTGCAACTGCTGAGGCTGCACCGGGTCCTGAAAAGAGTGTGATAAAACAACCAGAACTACCTGAGAAGAAGGTGGCCTTGGATGAAGGAGCTGATGCTGCTGGGAATCATTGTGACATGGAGGCATTTGTGCTGGATCATCTGGTCAAGGAGGAGCAGTATGATAGCCTTGCTTCAGCTGGAGAGTTGGAACAAATGCTAGACTTGCTGCTGGCTGATGAGGATGCCACTGGGGGAATCCAGAGCACCACGATTACACAAAGCCTGTGTGCTTCTCCCCAGGCAAATGAGAATGTCCCAGGGAAAGTTGGAATTGAAGAAAAAGAGAGATGTTGTACAGTAGATCCACAGTTGGACAAGATAAAAAGTAGTGAAGCTGCTGACTCAACAAATGGGAGCTCTTTGCTGGACCCTGTCCTTAACTGTCTTCCTCTTGTAACACCTGAGCCTAAAGGTGACTGCCTTTCCTTGTCCAGGTCAGCCTCTCCCCAACTGGGGGATTGGGCAAAAACTCAGTGTCAGCTGTCTGAATCCACAAATGGGACTGTAAAAATTGCTGAGCCTTTGTCTGATACTTGGACGGGTGATGACCAAGGACCTCTAACTTACGATTTGGGAATCTCAGATAAAGAAACAAAGTCACTTACTGAAGCTGTTCTGAGCAACCCTGTGCAGCACGTGGACTGCAAGCTGTCAGCTTTCTTAGCCAGCCTAGAAGAAACTATAGACGTTGGGATAGAGGACTTCTTTCTTAATATTGAAAGTGTCCGGCCAGATCTTTCTCCTATATCTGAAACTGAAGTGGATGTTCTGAACTAGTGAGTGCAAGTAGTGGCAAGGAATTACTTTGACTACTTGGTGAGGTGGGCTACCAGACAATATTGCACGTAAAATTCCATGGCAAATAGTAAGGAATCTGCCGCAATTAATAGATTCCAAAATGTTTGAGTATTTTGATCAGATGATGGTAAAGCCCCCTTTAAAATCAAATTGGGGAGAGGCTGCTTCATTATCACCAATTCTCAGCCTCACTAAATCATGACCGTGACATTGGTATAATCTATTCTTTGCGTACAGGCCACCCTTCCAGGATGCTGGGGTCCTTCTAGCCTCTTGTGGGATAGGAAATATACAGCATTACTTCTGTGAAAAGTAATGTTTTATGTTGTGAGAGACATCTTGGGGCCGGTAATAATTTTACACAAGTGTGTTCTATTTAATTTCCTTTATAGATCATAATGTAATTGGCTTATAGTAAACACAAGATTTTAAAACATTGGTCAAGAGTTTAAAGCGCGACTATTCATAGGACAAAATTATGTTTTCGGGGAAGAGCTGTTGTGAAACAGTGTTGTCCTTAACTGTTAAGTCCTTTGCTTCCCTTCAATATTTTTTAAATGTTTTATTTAATGGCTAGTGAATTAATCAAACCTGGAAATAAAAATTCAGTCCCAAGCTGGGAGCTACTACATTGAGTTAGCAGTTCAAAGGCAATATAAAGACATGGAAACAGGATAAGAATTGCCCTCTTTGTACTGGCTCTTTCAGTTGAATGCTTCAATTCCTCCCCCCCCCCCCTTGCTTAAAGGTCAGATTGGAACTAGAGGATCTGCTGATCTCACTGCTTTATTTCCCAGTTACTGGAGATCACATAGTACCAACTCAACACCACTTACAGCAGTAGATGCTTTGCTGTAAATGTTAATTCTTTCTCCTTAAACCAATGTTGCTGGAAGCAGCACCCATTTCTCCTGCTACTTTTGGCTGGATAGCCCACTTGAATTGAACTGACTTTTCTCCTGATAAGTGGCCTGCAGTATTTAAACATAGGGAATTTAGATACAGGGAACTAAGTGCCTTGCTGACTTTCTGTATTTTAAATAAGAGAAGGCTCCCTAGAGGCTTGAGAATAATTGCCAAGTTGCTTGTTTTTCATTGAAACCGTCTCCCTTGTGTTTGCAGCTTCTTCACAGAGAACTGTATTCAAGTGCAATGACCTATACCTCCACCAAGCTGTGCCAAATACTTCCTTCTCTCACAACCCAAAGCTCTTCATGTATGCAGAACATTCTGAAGAGTAGATGGCACAAAGACTGGAATAAATATTGAGTTGTAACTTGTTCAAATAAAAATTGTTAAGTTTTCTTGGTACTTTGCATCATATTTACACTGCAGCCCCCCAATTTTGTGGTGTTAACTATAGCTAAAGGAAATAAAACAATGCAATACACACAAATAATACAAATTGTTGGGCAAGCACAGGGAAGATTGATAAAGTCAGCATAGTAAACTAGAAGTTAACAGTAAAGTTAACTATCTTGAGCAGGTATTCAATTCTAGAGAGCAAGGAACCAAATACTGTAGAGATTTTACTTATAACTTCTAAAATGCCACTAGCAAACAAGCACACATTTAGGTTTTATTGGGAAAAAAGTACAGGACAAAATATTAGCATTGTAATCTGAAGCCATGGGAGGGATGAAAGTGCAATGGTAAAAAAAAAAATGAAATGTTTTCAGAAGTCATGTGTATGCTTGGGAGTTTTATGTGCAAGTTTAACACTTCAGCAGATGAAACAGGACATGTGAATATAGATGTGCAACTTTAATTCGCAAAACAGTAGACAACACTAAACTGCCATGACAGACAATCTAATGATACCTTTATTTCACAGGACAGAATTAAACAAGAGATAGGGGAGGCAATTAAGCTTTACTGGAAATAAAGTTCTTCCCCCAAATGTTCCAAGAAGTAACAAAATTTGAAAGGATGATGGGGCAGGAAATGGTCCATTTTTCCTTGTAAAGGAGGGGCAGCAGTTTCAGAGATACAACCAGAGTTTCTTTACCCCACTTCATCATATCTCATCATAAATGCTCCAGCTCACAGGACAAATAGACAGTCAGAGAGGCTGCAGAAAACAAAAAAATCCTGTTAGCCACAGATCCTACTCCCCAGTTCAATATCACCATTTACAACTTCCAGGAGTACAATGGTTTTGTTTCTATTTCTAAACCACGCAGTACAGATGCACATGGCTATCCATAATACAACCTAAGAGAGCTTCCCACAGTATAAAAATACAGAACTTAAGGTTCCAGAAGTGTAAACTATGACTCATTTTAGGTATGATGAATGATGGGTACTGGATACTACATATCCAGACCCCATTCCCAAGTACATTTCTTCAAATATTGTATAGGAACCAGTTGGTTGGGATCATTTTATTTGGACAGATTACAGGCAATCGCCAATTTAATGACCATTCATCAACCATTCAAAGTTACGGTGGCACTAAACAAAGTCAGTTATGACTGGTGCCTGAAGTTACGGTTGATCAAAATAAGGGTGTTTGCAGCCTTGCCTGCCCTTTCAACCACAGGGAACTTCAACGCACACGCACAGCCATTCTGGATGTGTACTTACCACTTTGCTCCTCCATCATTGTTGACTCTAGTTTAAGTTGCACCTCACCATTTCAACGATGTTGCTGGGTTCTGGGAACTTCAATTTGCGGGGTGGCCCTTTTTTAAGACCACTCCATAGCTCTATCTCTAAAAATAATTAACACAAGCAATCACCAACAGTACTTGGATTATACAATGTGAATACATCCCAAACATACTGCTAAGAGGTCAGTCACATGGTTTGTAAACAACTGATTTCACTGATCAACTAATTACCTTCAAAGGAAATGTGGCCACTTACAGCCAGACACTGTTAATCTCTAAAAAAAATTGATTTTTGTTTAATAGAGCACAAAAAGGTGTACAAGATGGCCAGGTTTATTTTCTCTCAACAAAATATTGCTGGAGATATTATGTCTCAAAATTGCCGAAACCTCAGAGTCATACTGTAGAAGGCTGCGGTATGAGGTCAAACAAATGACTGTATCTCCGCAAGTATTGCATTAGCAAACCAACACTTTACCAATGTTCATTGGGGACGTGTGTGCATGTTCACACAAAATTTCATCAAAATCCATGATGGTCGAGCAGGGCATTTTTCTGAAATCAGACTACTTGACATGGAATGACCCAGGGCCAACAACCCTAAATGGCATGGCTTTTATCATCTAGGAAATTGGGTTAATTTAATAAACCAACTGGTATATTTGACAGTCCTAGCTAAGCAATGATTGGCATTGAGATTGCAAGTCCAACACAATCTCATCCGTCCCATTCCCATAAGCCACACAATAACTCACTGGTGCCATCCTTTTTCAAGAGAACCACTTCAAAGCTATTTCTCCGGGGTTTTTCAAGGTTGACCTCCACAAGGATATCAGGAAAGGCCAGGCTCAGCTCTTGACTGACAGCCTCAGCTCTGCGTCCAAAGACTCGTCAGCTTTTACTGTTAGTATCAAAGAAAAGCAAGGAAAAAAATCTTAATACTACAGAATGAGTGTGAACTATTATTTAAAAGCCCCTGGAACTTTAAAAAGAACAACTGTATTTAAAAATACATCTCATCGTTTTCTTTTTATTTTGTAACAAAGACTTTACTTCAACATTTTATTCGGAGGTGGGGGAGGGTAGTTGTCTATTATTTTACACATGTCCATTAAACTCAAAAATATGGCACAGGCGATATGTTGCCCAAACTGACATTTGCATTATGTCATTACATAAAAGACATTCTGGAATACATTTGTGCCCATATAACTCCTAAATGACAGAGTTTGTATCATTAACATCAATGTGCAGAAGACATAATTAGCTGCAGCAATTTGGTTCACTGCATGCAAAGTTCAGTGCACTGAGGCCCACTGTTACAATGAAATATTTGATTCAAAACAGATTCCATGCAGGCTACAGGGTTTAATCAATTAATGCATAGTGGTGGTTGTTTTTAAAAAAAAACTATTTTGTAGAACTCTAAAGTTCCATGAGAAATTGATGGGGTTCTGTGAAAAACTAATAGTAAAAAGCTATTAGCACCCTCAAACCCAAATAATTTCCTGATTTTAGAGTTTTGCCTCTTGATTAGGATTCTTTTTTTTTTTAATTAACAGGTTCAGTAACCTCAAAACTTTAGAAAATTTCTGAACTAAAAATGTATTTCTATTGTGTGGTCAGCAGAATTTATTTTTAAATCTGTTTTAATACATTTATTGTACTTATAGGGTCAGACGGCATTCTTTCTTATTTGGGGGACATGTATTTAAAATGTCTCCAGCTAGGAATCGCCAGATCTACTGAGGCTCCAATTTCTAGAATTCCTGGAACACCTAAGAGAAGGCAGCTCTAAGCAACTGTTACCAACATTCATGCATCAGTTTTTTAAAAAAATCCATCCATCTCCACAAAACTTGTTTTTCCTCAACAAATACAACAAATACAATCAGTTAAATTCATATTATTATTATTATACAATTGTATCACAGCGGCCAGTTGTTTTGCCGGATTTGGCATTGGTTACTAGTTCGGCCCCACCCAGGGGCCTAGGACGTCGTAACGTATTTTCGTAATATGCGTGCAGGTCCAAGCAGTGCGGCTTTTTGCATTTGACTGATGGTGATTTTGTCAATTTTTAACTGTTTTAAATGTAATTCCAGTGCTTTTGGAATAGCTCCTAGTGTGCCACTTGCCTCTGGAATTACCATTGCTGGTTTGTGCCATCATAAATAAATAAATAAAT